TTTTTTTTTTCTGTTAAAAGGCAGTTTTATTCGTCCCTCCGTTGCCAAAATGCTTGCTCAGTGTGTGATCTGATTTGGTTTCATCCTTGATATTGAAGTTATTTCTGCTCCACTTGGTAACGTTAACATAAGCTCAATATAGTAGTGACTGTGTGTATATTTCTCTCCCTTTTCCCATGTTATGTTTCCTGGGAGGATTGTCTTCATTCTAATTTAATGTAAAATAATGCAAATGAATTTGTGAATTTGGGTTACACTGATCCCTCTCCTGTCGTGGAAGTTGCGTTCCAAGACCAACCACGAAAAGGGAAAATCCGAAAAAAGGTCGAGATAGTCTCTATATTATTTACATATATATTTACCCTTCACGAACCTCCCCCACACTGTTACCAACCCTAGACTATATTACCCTTTCCCACACATTTATATGCCGGTTATAAAATAAATCAAATATTGGAAATAAAAAAATAAAAAATGGCCGCAAAATATCACAATATAGTGAAACTCGTGAGTTTGGAATAAAAAAAATCTGTATGTACTGAGGGAGCGAAAGGAGAACCGCAATATAGAGAGGGAACACAGTATATCACTAAATGTAATTACAGTGTCAGACATGTTAGAAACATTTCCCTTTTTTTCTTTTCTTTTTTTCCTAGCTGTCTGAAGAAAGTACCCTGGATGAGGCCAGTGGCTACAACATCCCCGTAGAAGCACCAAGGAACGCAGCAAAGAACTCCAAGAAACTGGTACCGATCCGCAGACGTCACAGAGCGAAACCAACCACGAACTTGTCTCAGCATTTATTTTTTTATTTATTTGATGTCGATGTGTTTTTAAGAACTCGGCTCCAGCAGCCAAGAGCAGGATTCCGGCGACTGCTGTGTCAAATCAGGCGTCGGACAGTGACGAGGACGAACTCCCGTGGTGCTGCATCTGTAACCAAGACGCCGCGCTCCGCTGCTACACCTGCGACGGCGACCTTTACTGCAACCGCTGCTTCAGGTACTTTCACACGTACAGAAAAGGCTGCGCGACAACCCTGGCTGTCTGAGAGAGAGAGAGAGAGAGAGACGCCTGTGATCAATGTGTACTGTGACCCAGATAATCTGGTCGACGGGGTGCAGCCATATTGTCTAGCAGCTTGGACATAAAGTATTTAATGTGATAAATTATCAATCCGCATCCATTTATCTCCCCAGGGAAGGCCATGATAAATATGACAGGAAGGAGCATCGCACTACAAATTACACAGCACCAAAGAAGAAGAGGAAGACATGATAAACAGTGTTGTTCACGTTTGCTTTATCACACACTACGCAGTCATTATCCATAGAGTTGTACTTAACCTTACGCGACCCTTCATTGGTAAAAACGAAATCTCCAAAGATCCAAACAGCGCTTCTTTTTTTTTTTTATCCACAGTGATCCAGGACGACTCATTAACCTCTAACTTATCATATTGGATCTTTGCACAGCTGCTGTAATTATGTCTGTGACAGGAAGACCGCCATTTGGTCACGTGACTGCAAACCCCTGACCCGAGTGGAGAAACAACATGGAGCTTAAAAAATGAAGACATAAAATGTACAATCAATAATAATTAATAATAGAATTAACGCGCATTTCTTTTGTGTGTACGTGTAAAAATAGAGTCGAGGATAGAGGCTTCAACAGTTTCTATTTTAGGACAAACTGCAGCTTCTGAAACAGCAAAGGCACAGTAAACCGTTTAATTTGAGATGGGGTTTTTTTTTTCTTGTCCTACTTCCTGAAGGCAATAAAGATTCACCTCAGAATACCTTTGCAGTTGTAAGCTTTTAATTTTGTTTGAGTAGAGGATAAATACAGCGTGAGTCTTGGTAGGATATTCAGTGTCAGACCTGTGGTGTGTAGGAGTCGGAGTAAAGGGTTCACTGATGGATGTGTTTATCTTCTGTCATCCACTGCAGTCTCCTTTCATTAACACTGCGTCTGACTGTGACTCAAGTTTGTTGCCACTGCTATTCGTATGTGTATATCTAAATTTATCAGTAGAGAAAGAAAAAAAAATCCAAGAAGTGTCTGAAAATGAACACTATCGTCATATAAAATGAACCCCCTGAGTCTTGTTGTTAGCCCCCACCTGTTTCTGTCTTTTATGTTTTAATTGACTGAGACACTTTAGGTGGTCATCTTAAATATATCCAGTAGGTGGCAGTCATACAACCTGAAGAGTTCAAAGACGCTGGTAGAGCAACAGAAAAACGAACAGGAGCGAAATTAGTTTAGCAGGATTAGCATAGCTTTGCTAAACTACAGGGGATTCACAAATTATTGTAAGGTAAGTGTCTTAATGAAATATTTTTTGTCTCAAAGGTTTTAACAACACCCGTTGAACTTTAATGTAGATGTGAGGTATGAACATTTTTATTATATTTTCGAAATGTTTCATTTTTTAACCCGTCAGTATTTTTGTGCAGTGGTAGCGTGCTAGTTAACTAGTGAGCTATCTTTCCTGTTGAACATTTTGTAAATAGCTGTTATCTCATAGTTAATATTTGTTTCATTTTACAGAATTATTACACTTAAATAACGAGAAATGATACTGAAGGTTTTCAAATGAAAAAATAAGCACAAATAGAAAATATGATCCAAATGATACAGCCGTGTGCAGTTAAATGTTAATTTAACAAAAGATTATGGCTCAACATATAGCTTAAAATGGCATATTTTTAAATGATTAAAGTATGGCAAATAATGCAATATACAATATATTAATATACAAATAACTAATAACCTAAAACAAACTTTGGACCTGCATAATATAAATATATAAATGATATGCAAATCTTGGAGTTTGAGTTTTGAAGGAAGACGAGACACGTCGTAGCACTCTAGTGTTTGTGATCGAGTAAAAGATTTGAGAAAAAGGCTCTAGCGCTGACGTCATGAAATGGATGGCCTTCATGTCGGAGCGGCACAAGTAAAAATGGGGGTTGAACAAATTACTATAATGGAGCCGTCAACTCAAGACCCTCTGTGTGTGTGTGTGTGTGTGTGTGTGTGTGTCAGAAAGACAGCCAGAGTGCAGTTTCATCACTGTGCATTACTGTCTCACAAACTGAGGAGAAGTCCTAATTACGCTCTCCTCTGGGGGATGGCTCCATTAAGGATCGTATGAAGGCCGTTACAGTGTTTGTCTGTTCCGGCCTTGTCATACACACAGACAAACCACAGACAGGAAATGGATGTGGATAATGGATGCATAGCTAATGGACCTTCCTGTTGCTGATTTTGCTGTGTTTACCCCTGTACGTGACATGTCGAGTCTCCTTTGTCTCCATCACTGAAGGGGAAAAACCAGAACCGTGGGTTTTTTTTCTTGCCGTGTTTACCACCATTTGTGCCATTGGTTAATTTCTGACTGTCAATGGGGGTGAAGCGAGACTGTGTTTTTGAGCAATGATAAATAAAAATGCGGTTCCAATCATCTTGCATTTCAAACGTTTATAAACAGCCGGGTGTTATGGGTACGTCAATATTTATCTGTACTCAGAGGAATGAATCATCTGTGCTGCCTGTACCTGTTGCTGGTTTCTCAATCCGCTCTGCTTTAGAAATTCAAAGGAATCCCTTTTTAGAGAATTCACCACGAGTCTTGTCTTGAAAATGTTCCATTTTATTTTGACGTACAACACTGTTATTTACGGAACAAAAAAATATTTATGTACATAAATAGGCAACTGAAAATGTGCTTACACAAAAAACACTCACCGCCTGAACAGTTTGTTTATGGGGAAACAAAACGAAAATTGCAGTCCATAAATGAAAATAAATAATTATTTAAAAAAAATCTTTCACAACCCACTGCTCTGGGGTGATTGTGAGGCAGGAGGAGACTCCAACCGGACATGTGGACCACACGTGCGTCCAAACAGTTAGACATCTAGGAGACAGGGAGGTGAGAGGCTCCACGTTGCCTCATCTTGATCTGACGTCAGATTATTTCTTCAAGGGACCTGACATTTTACGTAGACCCTTTATCCTGTAGAGCAGCCCGTTGATAAATTCCTGCGGGGAGAACAGTCGCTGTTGAACGACATTTGTTGTTGACTATTTAAATCGTATTTACCTCGGTAGAGTGTTGTAAGGTAACTGGATGTTTTCTTTGGTCCTCACCTCTTTTGGCTTCCCGCATTCCTGTAAAAGCTCCTAACAGAGGAAAACAAACAGACTCTTAATAATGCTGGTCATTCCTTTGTTTTTACTGCAAACACGGCCACATTGATTTTCAGCAAAGGTCAAGTACTTGATGTTTTAGCAAACGCTTAGTGTGTATCCTGTTACTGTGTCTATGAGGGAAACGCGCTTGAAAAGTTCACCTACTTCTGCATGAACCTTTAAGACATTTTCCATTTAAAAAAGAAAAATACAAAATTCATATTTATTATTAATATATATATATATATATATATATATTAATAATAAATATGAATTTTGTATTTTTCTTTTTTAAATGGAAAATGTCTTAAAGGTATTATTTATTTATTTATTTTTACCTGCAGCCGTGTTCTCTGGCCCTCATCTGTCAGCTCCAGAAGTTCATCTATGTCAATCTCTAACTCTGGAATCTCCTCCTCCTGTGGGAGCAATGGGAAGAAAATTAAAAAAAAAAAACTAAATATGGGATAAGACTGGTTTGCCTTGTACCAAGAAGATCGCTGGTTTCATTTCTCTCTTTAATTGACCATGTTGCGAACGTGAGTGTGGATGATTGTTGGTTTTATATGTGGCACTGCGATAGGCTAGTCCATCTTACATGGTGTATGATCCCTGGCCAGATCATCTCCTCTGACCAGGATTAAACAGTAAAAGTTGGATGAACGTCTCATCAGGATTTGTCGCTCAAGATCAATCCTAATGAAGTGTTTCCAAGACGGAAAGAGGTCTGTGGTACTCTATGTGAAAGTCTGGAGTGGCAGAGGAAGATGTGATGGTGGTGCAAGCCATGATAAGGAACAGGAAGACAATGGTTTTGAATGTTAGAGGCTGAGCTGCCAGGAAGAAGTACATGGAGGTACTTGGTGTAACCTTTTTAAATGGGGGGGGCGGGCCCCCCGGGGGGGAGGCGTGGTGAGGGGCTTCTAATGGAACATGGCATCCTGAATATAAGTGTACCACGGCTGTAATGCTTGAATGATAACAAGCCTCCAGTCACTAGGTGGCAGCAACTCATACAGTGCCTTGTACAGATAAAAATATACATGTTATCAGGATCTCAATAGTATTTCAATTTGTGGGGGTGTGATTCAGAGGCATGATGGGTAAACTTAAATGCAGAATTGGATGCTATTAGTGCCCTGAAGGGAGCAGTAGAGAGTCTGATGCACAGAAGATGAATACAGTTTTATTCCAGGATGATTATTCATGACGGTGGTGTGATTGGTGATTAATGACGTGCTGTGCACACAAACAAAGCTAAGGATCAATGACGCATGAGCGCACAAGGGAGCCATACCTGCTGTATGACCCAATCAGAACTCACGGCTGTTGAACTCTGCTGGCATTTAATCTGAAGCTCAGACACTGTTTCTGAAAAACATATTTACTATAAAAACACCCAGGGAATATTTTAGTCACGGCTCACGTGTACCTCACTGTGAACCTGAGATACACAGATACAACTGGAACCTTGTGGTACTGTTGTTTTTCAAAAGGACACAGAGTCCCCGGTAATAAAAAAAAAAAAGGCCAATATAGCAAAGTAATCAGTTCATGTCACTCGCTCTCGTCCACACCTATCAACTACGTTTTCAGAGGGAATGTGCAGAGCTCACTAAAGGGATCGTGAACACGAAGACATGTGGGGTCAGCAGAAGTACGCTCATAGTTGACAAGCGGGGGCCGCGTTTGAAGAAGAATATTTTCCGGTCGGGGAGTTTTCATGGCTGGTGAGGATGCTGCGCACACTGTGTTCTGGATGAGGAGAGAACTAATCAATGTGGAAGTGCTGAGTGGCTGAATGAGCCGGGCCCACCTTCAGCGTCCCCTGTGCCTTCTCTAACTGATACATACGGCCGGTCTGGAGGCCCATGTGATTCTGCTGGAGCCTGTAGGACACATAAAGGCCTCTTTGTTTTAATCAGTTTTTTTTTCTTCAATCACAGCTGTACATTTCTGTGCTGTGTGGGTTCTGCTTTAGCAGCAATAATGTGCTGAGTCCGACTCAGGGGTGAGTTAAGGACTTTTGAGTGATTTTTGCTGAATGTCAAATTGGGTTTTTTTTTGTTTGCTTCTGCATTTCCTGTCCATGTGAAACATGGGACAAAATGGTCGTCCCCTATAAGACAAAGACGTCGTACTTCTTTAATGTCACTATAGTCGTGTCACATGTCTCGCAATGAGATGTGGGTAGGGCTATGTTTCGGTTTTGCACATTCTTGCCGTGCTACTAATGGGTTTAAAATAGAATAAAATGTCAATTTTAATGTTATTCATCACAAGGTTTCTACAGATTAACCATGATTATGATGATTATGATTGCCATAATTAGGGTGAAAGAAAGTATTACAATGTACTTTAGTGCAGTTTAGAAGCTAGACCAGACTTGGGCAAACTATGGCCCGTGGCCCAGATACAGTCCATTGGCGTTTCTAATCCAGCCTGCCAAACGCTAGTACAAGGTATGGATAAGAATGATGTCAATCTTTCTCCACTGGATGGCAGCAGACATCAGATGTGCCTAACAGTGTTGAAAATTAGAAAACGTTGTAGAAAATTAAGTCGTAAGTATCGAGTCACTGTTTATGTCGCGGTGGTTTGCCATCCCCTATAAGACAGTTGTAGCAGCAGCAACATTATTAAATTGGAGAAATAAAAAAAAAAGTTTTTGTTTATGTATTTCTTGTGCTTCATACAGAAACATTTTAACACTGTTATATATAATATTTGTGTGTACATGTATAAACTGTATATATACACACATATCTATATATACATATATGTATATACTGTATATATAGTACATCAATAAGTTCTCAAAGTATGGGGCGTGGGGAACTAAGATGTGACAGGTGGAGCCAGTGATGATAGCACAACTGCACTGTTATTTTTATTTTTTTTAACTTAGTGTTATTAGGTGTTAGTTCAATAAATGTAACATGTAATTTGTCCAGATTTTTGTTGGAGCAACGGGGGCAGATGTAGAAATCTCCCTCTCGTTCTTCTCCAGACACAGCTTTAGTTTTGTGGCCTTTTCCCCAACTCTTTACCAGCAGTGACGTTGTCCTTGGTCTACATTTATAGTCTGTTCCTGCGGTGGTCTCCCTGGTCTGCTGTCTTTGACACTTTGTGTCTTGTTATTTATGGATCTTTCTAAAGAGTTCTTATTGATTTACCTTTTTTCCCTGAAGTGTTTGAAATCTTGTGTTTCTCCGACAGATCTGTTTTGTACCGCGAGGATGCATGAAGTCCTCGATAAAACATTGTCAGTTCCTGATACTTGAACGCCTGATGAGTTTGGAAAACCATTTCCTGCTGTGTTTATCATTCCTAAACTAAGTTCCTTTGTTTTTGTGTCGGCATAAACACTAATCCCCTTACACAGAGTGTACAGTCGGGCTTCGAGATAGGAGTTTAATCCGTTCCACAACAGCAGTCGTACGTCGATCCACTCGTATCTCGATTTCATAAAAGCCAATTAGATTTCCCATTAAAAATAATTAAAAACCAATTAGATTCGTTACAGCCACCACAGAAATATACTATTAATTTACCCATATGAACAGCAAAAAACATAGATATAAACAAATATATTGATAATATAAAATAATAATAATTAAGAAAACATTTTATATTATTGTTAAAAAAAAATGGGTAAAATGACCCAGCGAGGGACAGTGAGTGCGACAGTGTCAAGGGGAAAAATGGAGCTGGGTTGAACTTTCGTAACTCGATGTTTCCCCGTATTAGAGGAAAATCTTGCAAAAGTTGCTAACTCATAACTTGGAAAACTCGAAGCCGCACTGTATCTAGAAAATAAACCTTTTTCATAACTTCAGTTCAAAGACTAACTCATAACTTGGAAAACTCGAAGCTGTATCTGGAAAATAAAAAAATTTCATAACTTCAGTTCTAAGGTTTCGAACCAGACTGTGTGAACAGAAATAAGTCAATTCTTAAAGGGCTAATGAAGTCAACTTGTTTGTTTTGTGTGTGTGTAAAACTTTAGTTTCTGTACATAGTCAGCAAAGTTCCACAGGCGTTCTGTATAAAAAGCTAGTTTCCCGTCTGTGGCCTCCGTGCAGAACATCACTGAATTTCAATGAGACATTTTCACTTCACTTACTTTTTAGTGGTTCAAAGTGTGTGCAGCTCGTTGAGAGTTACTTTCATTGTCGGAGGAAAAGAGCATTTTAATGAGGCCAGTGGGCACAAATGTCTCAGCAGGACGATCTGGAGTTAAAAGCAGCAGACTGTAGTGCTGAAATGATTGTTGGCACTAATATTGGAATTCATGAATATGGAAGTGGTTCTCAGAGGGTCTCTGTTTCAGGCGGAGGTTCAGAAGAAGCAGGTTTTCTTTTCTTTTTTTTCGGACGCTCACTGCTATTTTAAGTCTCATCCTACTTGTGTGTTTTCTGCGAGAACTTTGACATTACATGACAAAACCACCATGATTTAAATTAACTTTAACACCGTCCGCATGTTTTATTCATAGGATTTGTTTATAACAGAGAATTGATTTTTTTTTTTTATGCTGGCAACATAAAGTTTACTACGTTTGCCCTTAGATTAATGGTATTGATCACTCACTAAACCAGTGCAATGACTGCTGTGAAATTATTAAACTAAGTATTGATATTCACTCCCCCTGGTGTTTATCGCCCACGGATTTTATTGACACATTGACCCTCGGCATAAGCAAGACCTCAGGGCATTGATCGACCTTTGCAAAGCACTGAGAATCCAGAACTTAACTAAGAATAAAGAGATTCCATGGCCGTTCATGGATGTTTTTTATTTTCTTGGTTCGGAAACTGCGTTGTAATAACAAACAATCACCGAATTTCCAATGATCTCAAAACATTTCCATCACAAACACAGCACAGATGCATTTGTTTGGAACGGTGAAATGGAAACTGCGCCCAGGAATAATGGCTGTTTTGAAAAGTTGCCCATGGCTGTGTCCAAAACTGCCCCCCCCTACACCCTACGTGGTGCACCATGTAGGGGGCGCTCCATTTTGTAGTGGTCTCCGAATGTTTAGTGAGTGAAGTTATACCACTATAAAGTCCACTCAGTGTATCCCACAATGCAGCGCAAAATTTAGTGTATATTTGATGTACACTACCCAAGCAACATATCCCATCATGCATTGTAGTTGTAACGACATAGAGGAGAGAGGAGCACTGTCTGTCTGTCCATTTTAATTGTGAAATAGTAACAAGGTAATCCACAGAAATAGTGTCTGGAACTGTTTTGCATGTAACTGTTGAGTCCACTACGTATATAGTGAGTTATGTATAATATCCTATTTATAATATGTATGTATATAATATCCTATAGGGAGCAGGGAGTGAGTGAGTGATTTCCGACACAGCCAGTGTTGTGTTCAGTTTGTCAGATACTTCCTATTTCC